AGTCTGCTTTGAAAAAAAAAACAACGAAAAAGGTGTCCAGAAAAGAAAAAAGAGAATTGGTTTATCAAATAATTTCAATTTCATTTTTTTTTTTTTTCTGTTTACATTTTGACGTCTGTCTTCGGTATTTTTTTTTTCTCGTTTATCTGGATGTTATGAATGAATTGTAGATTACAGAGTCTCACATTTTCGTAATTGTTCTTTTGAAATTTACAAAGAATTAAATAGAGTTAAAAATTTTTTCATTTTTTTTTTTTAATATATTTTCAGCCTGGAGCTGTACTTGTGGTTTAAAAAAGTACGTGGCTTTGTCAGAACTTTCAGCGTTTCATTTGTTTATGTGCTGACTATAGAGATAAATAAAAAGAGGTAGCATTAATATTTACTTTAGAAGAAATGGAGTGGTTGAAAGGTGTAAAATAAGTTTTAAAAGTTATAAGCAATGGAGTTCTATTAGTTCTCTTGCTTTTCTTTTTTTTTTTTTTTTTAATCTCCAAAACGATGCAAATTCTCCAAAACAAAACAAAATTTTTACAACTACCGTATCCGGCTATTTAACGGTATACGAGAAGCGCGGTGCGATCAATAGCAGCACTAAATTATTTTTGCAATTTTCTAATTAGACGCAGTGTCGTCATCATTGGCAGTGCTCAAATACCAATTAACTAACAGTTTCAAATTGTTTTAAATCAATGAATTATTGTTCTGTTTCATACACAAACATCGGTGCTGCAACAGTACAGTTATTTTTTCGTCTTTTTAGTTAGCCTGGACAGGACTATTCACAAATGGTCTTTCACTATGGACGATATTCCGAACACGTCATTTATGGAATGCATTCGGATACTCGTGTGCTTCGCATGCTGCCGGAGCTTGTGGTGTTTTACTCGTTTTTGTCTTATATGTTACTCCAATGTCGTTTTTGTAAGTTTTACATAAGTTTACTTATTTAGGCCCTTTCTTCAACTTATGAAAAAAAAAAATTGTGATACAAAGATTTCGAAGTACTGTGTTGCTATTTTCGACTGGAATTTGTTGCTTTTTCCTCTTCCAGAATGATTAAAAAGATATGATTTTAAAGAAGTTTTACAAGGGCTGTAGAGGTCATTAATCTAAGCTGATGTTTGTCTGGATGAAAGTAACAGCAACAGCAACAGCAGTAACAAATAAGAACCTGAGATTAGGG